AGTGCAGTAGAGCCTGAACCACACTGGGGTAGGGTGGCGGGGGGCAGGTGGAAAAGTGAAAGATGCTTTTCAATACCTTATCTTGTAAGTTAGATGTGACACTTTGGACTGTCTCAACTCTTGCAATTCCTTGAGATATAAATATCTTTTCTCTGAAATGCAAAACTGTAGTCAATTTAATTGTAAGTTCTTGGGCTACTTGCTCAGCCATACAGATTGAATTTCCTTCTGTGGAATAGTCCTAGCAATGCTTACTCCATAGTCTGTCAAAAGCATCTAGTGAGAATCTGTATATGAGAGTCCTTTGTGAACTACACAAAAATGATATTGAGATTAGCTGGGTGTTTATGCACACGTACTTTTGTATACAAAGACTTCATAAGAGTAAAGGGTTTCATATGATCTTTGTAGAATGGGTGGGAGTCCAGCTGGTAGAGAAGAGAAGAGATGAATCACTATGTGGGAAAAATGGTAAGATATGATAAAGAACAGTTCATCAAAAGCAAATAAAATTAAAGGGTAAACATGAGAGGCACTCTTTTAAAATAATGATCATAATGATAATGATGAGGACAGTTATTATCAATGATCATCTACTGTTTTGAAAATTCTTCCCCATGCAGTAAGATATGAAGTAAAATAAGAAGAATGAACATCAAAAGGAAGAAACAAAAATCATTATTTGTAGATGATATAGTTTTAGTCCTAGGAAACTAAAAAGAACTGGTTAAAAGCATTGAAATTAATAAGTGGGTTTGGTTAAATAGCTAGAAACAAATTAATATAGAAAGAAGCAATAGCATTTCTTTAAACAGTTGGAAAAGAGTGAAATCTTCCCTACATGTGATTCTGAGTACACCTACAGCTTACTTCCCAGTCAAGTGCATTGTTCAAGCCAGGTCTTCCCACTGTCCTTTTCCTTCCTTCCCTCTGCATTGAGCTACACTGAGAACAATCACATGAATCATATATATTTATGTTAATTTGTATCAATGACAAGAAATTTTATCTTGAAGATTCTATATTAATATTTTAGGTGGACCAAGATTCTCCAAGAAAGACACTTAAGGGAGGCCCCTCATAAAATGTGTTTGTGGTTTCTATTGATGCTTATCTCCCTTTCTGTTCCCCTTAGGTCTAGTTTTCCTTCTCTCCCAGTAATAACTGTTTGTTATAAAATATAATAACTTGTAGACTTTGGTGATAAGCCTGTAATAAATGCCAGGGTCTGTCTGCACATGGAAGTAAGCGGTTACCTCTCTCTTTTCTCCACCCATTTATCTCCTAGACATAGGGTCTGGGGAAGGTTTGCAGAGTTACAGAACCATGGCCTCTCTCAGCCATCCACCTGCCTTGTCCACCAACACCCACTGACGATTTTATGGCCCAATCTGACTGCAGCTCTCCAATCTGATAGGTGAGCATGCTCCCGTCCTTAATCTAGAAAATTTTACCTTCTCCGGCCCCAAGAGGACTTTGGCCCTAAATTTAATTTAAAGTTGAAGAATGTTGTAAGGACTGTACTGTGACTAGGGGGGCTGAGTAACCAGAACAGAATGTGGGAGAGGAGGGTGGAAAATGCCCCTATTTTTGCTATTAGCAGGGCCTTCTTTCTGGGTCAATTTGGTACCAACAGAAGCACACGGAAGTGCCTAACCAAGGATTTGGTGCCTCTTGAGTTTCTTCTTGTGACTGCTCTTGAGTTTAGTTTAGCCCTTGTCCTTTCATGCTGATCAGCACAAGACCAGGCAAAGGAGTAGGAAATGTTACCAGGCTTGGTGGCTTTGCCTACTAGACCCCATAGCTCCATCCACAGCCTGTTGACACAGCTCCCACATTCCCCTGCTGTTAACATCTTATATTACACAGTACATTGTCAAACTAAGAAACCAACCTTAGAACCTTCCTAGTTGTTGATGAAACTCCAGACTATTTGTTGCTAGTTTTAACTAGTATTAACTAAACTAAACTATGATTTCTTTTTTTTTTAAGATTTTATTTATTTATTTGAAAGACAGAGATCACAAGCAGGCAGAGAGGCAGGCAGAGAGAGAGGAAGGGAAGCAGGTTCCCCGCTGAGCAGAGAGCCCAATGCGGGGCTCGATCCCAGGACCCCGAGATCATGACCTGAGCTGAAAGCAGAGGCTTTAACCCACTGAGCCACCCAGGTGCCCGCCCCCACCTTTTTTTTAAGTTTTTAAACTAAACTGATTTCAATAGTTCTTTCCGGCTAATGCCTTTTTAAGTTCCAGGATCCAGTCCAGGATACTACATTGCATTTAGGAGCTAATATGCTTTTTGCCATTCTATAAATCTTCTTCGACACCCATTTCCAGCCCCATTCCTGAGCTGTCTCCTAAGACTTAACATCAAACATAGGGGAGGAAAAGGAGCCAAGGTTCTAAGGTCAGATCTAAAAGCCACCTCAGCATTTCTCATCAGCATTTCCCAAAATGAAATTTCCAGATAAAGAGTTCAACAAGATACTCGGCTACTTTCAAGGAAGGAGAGAATCTATAGTCAAATGAATTAAAGAAATGCTTGATGCCAAATCCCTTCTTGAAGAGGCAAAATTTTCATCAACATGACATAATCTCTGAAGAGTCTTGCAATATATAAACCAGTTCAGTTTCGCCCAGCAAAACTTTTATCAAATTTCAGTCATTTGCATACCATCTTCATGCCTTTCGCCGTATGTGCAGTCTGTACTGTTATTGACTTAATATTCTTCTTTTAACCTACTCATCTTTTAAAAAATACTTTTAAAAAATTTTATTTATTTATTTGACAGAGAGAGAGAGAGACAGCAAGAGAGAACACAAGCAGGGGGAGTGGGAGAGGGAGAAGCAGGCCTCCCACTGAGCAGGGAGCCCTATGCCGAGCTCCATCCAAGGACCCTGGGATCATGACCTGAGCCGAAGGCAGACACTTAATGACTCAGCCACCCAGGAGCCCCAAAAATACATTCTAAAGAGTATTTGATATCACTACTCTCAATGCAAAATTTAGGTCATTTGCCAAAATTAATTAGAACAGAAAAATGTTAATTTCAACCAAGAACTTCCTAGAGTCATCTCATCTATCACCGGTGGTTCACATATGATCGTCTGGGAGATATTGGTTAACCAGATCCCTTTTTTCAATAACACCTGTTAAAATGCTGGGGAGGGGCACCTGAGTGGCTGAGTGGGTTAAAGCCTCTGCCTTGGGCTTGGGTCATGATCCCAGGGTCCTGGGATTGAGCCCTGCTTTGGGTTCTCTGCTTGGCGAGAAGCCTGCTTCCCCCTTTCTCTCTTCCTGCCCCTCTGCCTACTTGTGATCCCTGTCTGCCAAATAAATAAATAAATAAATAAATAATAAAATCTTTAAAAAAAATAAAATAAAATGCTGGGGAGACACTTTGGGAAAGGCCTAGAAGATCAGAAAATGTCCACAGAGAGCTAGTGTTAAAGCCCAGACTAAACCTGAAGTCCCTACCTGCGTCTCTAGTGCCCTCCTCACAATCCTACTCTGCTTCTGAGGTTGACCTCTCTTGGGCATGACCAATGGAGATTCCATGAGGGCCACAGTTTGTAACACAAAAAGTTCAGATTCCATGTGATTTGGTTTTGATCCTGAGTGTGGGATTTTAACAGATTCCCACACCTAGTTCTGAAGGCTCCCTATCTTCTTCCACTCTAGGGGCAGAACTTGGATCTGATTCTTTGTCAAAGTACATGGGTACAAAGTGTTTTCTGATTCCCAACTATCATTGCTACCTATACCCCGCCAATTCCCACCTGATCCATGACCTCCTACCTGCACTTTGTCCAGTTCTTCCTAAAGTCATGCTATTTTAAAATTTAATTGTGTTTGGGTGTGGCAAGAGGGATGCCTACTGTTAATCAGTAACAGAGAGCAGCAGATAAACCAGGTGCTTCCAGCCAGGTGGGGCACATTTGGCTCTCGGTTCTCCCAAAAGTGGCTCCAGAAAGTTGAGTATGCTCAATTCGTCTGGTGCTCTCGTCTGTTTTCTCATTGCAAGAGGCCAGACCACAGATGTTGGTTACCCCTTCTCCATTTGGTCAGCTGCTTGATGCCTTGAGTGGATTTGACAACATAATGTGCACTAATCCTACCCCAGCTGGTTTCTAACATTCAGACCAGATTTGAATGCCACTGGGCTCGATGATAGCCTTTGAGGTCATGCATTCCTTTCTTTATTCAAAATATTGAACATGCAGAATAAGCCAGTCTGTGCTATGGTATATATAATAATGGATAACATTTACAGAGCACTTACTCATGTGTTAGATACTCCTTATACATTATCTCACTTAATCCCGGATAACTTTAGGAAAAAGATACCCTTTTTCCCATCTTAAGGTTAAGTCACCAGGGCTTGAATGACTTAAATACCTTTCCAAATTTTACGTAAGTATCAAATGACAGATCTGAGATTTGAACCCAGGTATTGATGCTTGATGCCAGAGCTTATACTCTTGGCCCTTAGTCTATACTGCCTCCTTGGGAGAAGGCATGGTTTTTTACTCTCAAGGAGTTCATATACTTATAATAGCTATTCTGAGGTCCCTTTTTTTTTTTTTTAAAGGTTTTACTTACTAATTTGACAAAGAGAGAGAGTACAAACTGGGGGAGCAGCAGGAGGAGACAGGGAAGCAGGGAGCCCAATACAGGGCTGGATCTTAGGACCCTGGGATCGTGACCTGAGCTGGAGGCAGACACTTATCCGACTGAGCCACCCAAACACCCCGATTCTGATGTCCTTTAAAAATCTCTGTCATCAGGACAGGGAGCCTGCTTCTCCCCCCCGCCCCGCCCCCATTTGTGCTCTCTTGCTCTCTGTCACACAGACAGACAAACAAACAAACAAATAAGATCTCTAAAGATCACAGCCATCTCTAGATAGGTTTCTATTATTTGTCTCCTCCCTGGTGACTTATGACATTCCCCTCCCTCTCACAACTAATAAGGGGTTTTTTGTTTGTTTTGTTTTTTGCTCAGACAGCATCCGTTCCCTCTAGCTTCTTTGAAGAAGACCCATCATCAGTGACCAAGTGCAGTTGCAAAAAGAATACCCAGGGTCTGCTTCACGCTCGGGAAGGGGGACGCTGTGCCTCCTCCTCCTCTTGGTTTCAGGGACTCTACACATTCAGAGAAACTTCTCTAGTAACGAACTATAGAAACGATCCCTCACAGTATAGTTTTGCAACTTTTAAGTTTTACTGAATGTTGTACATTGTGGACACTATATTGTAGAGCTAGATTTGGTTGTCTTCCTTTAATAAATGTTAGGATTTTTATTTTTCTGGAAGTAAATTAATTTTTAATTTGGATTAGCCTGATCTTGTTGGAGCTTTTTTTTTTTTTTTTTTTTTTTTTTTACCTTTTTAGGGCTAATCCAGAGTTCTCTTATTCCACAGCGAAAGGAGCCCTGTTCCTTAGGCACGAGAGATTTGAGATCAAAACTCAAAGCCCAGAGTTAAACAGCAACATCTACTTTCTTTGCTTAGAACTCTGATCTCCAGGACTCTGTGACTCTCTGTTCTTAGAACCACTAGGGGCTGTTTTTTTCTCTCAGGTCTCCTGGATGTTTTCTCCAGCACGTGCAACTTAGCATTCAGTCAAAGACTGGACTTCCATTAAAGGAATTCCTTTGCATAACTTTGGAGCTGCTTTTTTGGTGCGGATCTTTCCTTTCTTCTAACCCGCCTCACTCATTACAGTCACTACAATAGTCTAGAACCCTGTCTCTTGTTCTGCTGAGGCTCTACCTCCTTGCCCCATGGTTTAGCGAGGTGCCCAGGCAGAACATGGGGTTGAATATGGAGCTCACCTCACATATTTCCATTTTCTTAAGGACCACAGATCAGTGCTACTGCTCAATGCCCACAAATAACTGCTTCATGTATTTTGGAAATTTCATAGTTGTATATGGTGAGAGAGTAAGTAGAGTACCCATTATTCATTTATGGACAGCCCTAGAAAGTCTGGACATTATTTTTTATAACAATCTGACAATCTCTGAATTTTAACTGGAATTTTAGTCTAAGCACATATTAGAATTCGTTTCTATCGTCTTTTTGCTGTGTATATGCTTTTACTTTTTTTTTTTAAGCTTTTATTTATTTATTTGACAGAGCGAGATCACAAGTAGGCAGAGAGGCAGGCAGAGAGAGAGAGGAGGAAGCAGGCTCCCCGCCAAGCAGAGAGCCCAATGCGGGACTCCATCCCAGGACCCTGGGACCATGACCTGAGCCGAAGGCAGAGGCTTAACCCACTGAGCCACCCAGGCACCCCTGTATATGCTTTTTCAATGATTTGCTTTTTCATTTTTTCTTTACAAAAATTAAAAGTTTGGGGGTGCCTGGTGGCTTAGTGGGTTAAGCCTCTGCCTTCGGCTCAGGTCATGGTCTCAGGGTCCTGGGATGGAGTCCCGCATTGGGCTCTCTGCTCGGCGGGGAGCCTGCTTCCTCCTCTCTCTCTCTGCCTGCCTCTCTGCCTACTTGTGATCTCGCTCTGTCAAATAAATAAAATCTTAAACAAAAAATTAAAAGTTTGTCATTTTTTAATTTCATTTTACCTCTCTACAAATTTTAAGGTCTACATACTATTCCCATTCATTTACTAGTTATTCTTGAAAAGTTTATCATGCCTGCTTATACCAACAAGTCTATAGTTCATTATCTGTTCCTCTGCTGAATTACAGTCTTTAGAACACCTTTACACCTCCACTCCTAACTCATAACTTGTTATTCCGTATTTTCATTTAGTCCTTTAAAAACACAAAAATGATACATCATAACATTTTTATTTCATATAAATAATGTTTATTTAATGTTACCCACAAGTTCACCAGTTTCCTTGCTATTACTCACCAGATCTCAAGTCTTTGTTCCAAGGTATTTTTTTTTCTTTCTGAAGTCATCTTTTTACAGTTCTTTTGATTAAAAAAAAAAAAATCCTTTTGGTGAGGATCTGTGGCAGATTTTCCCAAATATTAATCTCAAAACAGATTTGTTCTGCTCTCATTCTTTTTTAAGATTTGAGAGAGAGTGCACACGCTCACAAGCTGGGAGAGGGGCACCAGCAGAAGCCAAAGATGGGGCTGGACTCCAGGACTCTCGAGATCATGACCTGAGCCAAAATCAAGAGTCCAGCGCCCAACTGACTGAGCCATCCAGGTCACCCTGCCTTCATTCTTGAAAGACAATTTCACAAATTGAGAGTGGGTCAATGTTTTTGTTACAGGATTTCCTTCTCCTTCGTTCCCCAGGTTCATGGTCCTGCTGCTCTGAAAAATGAAGACCAGGCAGAGAGGTGGGCAGCAAAGCAAGGTTTTATTGAACAGTAGTAAACTACATTGAATGAGAGTACAAAACTCCTGAAGACAGAGGAGGACCCAATAGGGTTACAATTGGAGTTTCTAAGTCTAGGGGTTTTTATGGGCTTATTGGCGGGCTTTTCCCTGATTAAGCACCGGTCATTCAATCAGGTTTTTGTCATCTATCTATCATGTGGGAAAGGGTGGAGGGCTCCTTTCAGGTAGTGTTGTAAGGTCCCCCAATAATGGGTCCTTGATTAAAGGAGCGAGACTGATACAAAGCGAAGGTCAAGGACAGCTTTATTTCGCACCAAGCACTGAGAATCAAACTGACCGGTCAGGGCAGTCTCTTACAAAAAGGCGACCCCTCTCTGCCTTACAGACTAACTTTTATAGAGCAAAGCCCATGTGGTTGGGCCTGGCCACCCACAGGTGGCCAATGAGATTGTAACACACAGAGAAAGCCGCACAGTCATGTTAGGTCACACGCAGGTGGCCAATTGAATTACAATTCACCCCATAGTAGCTATTTGAACTAGCCTATCACCTTGGTCAGAATTGGCGCCCAAAAGGTGCCCAAAGTGGGGGGCCCATACTCCTTGGTAGCTAGGGAGAAGGTATGCACGCCCCACTGATTGGATGTCTCCACCTGTCATGACCCACCCTTGTATTTGGGCTTTGTTACCTGGTTTTCTGGGCTTGCTTTTAAGTAAGTTCCCTTGAGGGGTGGGCAGGGTCAGTTTAAGTTTTACTGCATAAACAAAATCACTCTTTAACCCGGATGGAATCGCTCTGGCTAAATAGGCCCTTACGGTGTAAAATCCTTTTAATGGTGATTTCTTTTCAGGGTGGGGGCCCCTGTCTGTCTGGGCCGGCCTTCCAATTATCCTTCATCATTTTCTAATTCCAGATTAATAGATTCTTTTGGCACTTGGAAGATGTTGATCAATTTGTTTTCTAACCTGAATTGTTGCTGTACAATCTTCAGTCAGGTGGTCATTCATTTCCAATTATTTTTTCTCCTAAGTTGCTTGTAAAGTATTCCTTTGTGTCCTAGAGTTTATATAAAGTAGGTGTAGAGTGTTTTACTTACAAGCTTGCGATAAATGTTTTGGGTGTTTATGGATCTTATCTTTTGTCAGAATCGGAACATTATTATCTGTTAAGTTACCAGCGATTTCTTCTCTGTTCTCACTAATTTATCGCCCGGAAATCCATAAATTAGCTTTGTTATTCTATTTTCCATGTTTCTCAATCCCACTTTCAAAATGTTCATACCCTTTTCTTGTATGACATTTTGGGTGATTTGTTTAGATTCAACTTCCATTGCATCCTTAACATCTGTGCCTAATCTACTGTTTAACCAATGGCATTAAGAAATTTTAAAATGTTTTAATATATATTTTCATGAGCACTCTTTTTTTTTTTTTTTTTTTAAGATTTTGTTTATTTGAGGGGTGCCTGGTGGCTCAGTCAGTTAAACGTCTGCCTTCGGCTCAGGTCCTAGACTGAGCTCTGTGTCAGGCTCCCTGCTCAGCTGGAAGTCTTCCTCTCCCTCTCCAACTGCCTCTCCCCCAGCTCATGCTCTCTCTCTCTCAAATAAATAAAATCTTTTAAAAATCAGGATTTTATTTATTTGAGAGAGTGCAAGAGAGCAGGAGGGTGGGGGTGCAGAGGGAGAGGAAGAAGCAGGCTCCTGGCTGAGCAGGGAGCCCATCAGGGGTCTGGATCCCAGGGCCCTGAGATCATGACCTGAGCCAAAGGCAGACAGATGCTTACCCCAAGTACACTCTAATTCTATTTTAAAATTCCCACTTTTGGTAGCCGGTCTCTTGTTGGCTTGACCATTTTTGTAATTCAATTTAAAATTTCATGCAAAGGTATTTTATATTTTGATTTTATAATTCCAATATCTGAAGACCATGGAAGTCTAAATCTGCCTGTTGTTCCGATTGTAGGTCATAGTGGTTTATTTTCTCTTATGTTTGGCAATGGCTAAGATTATATGTATTTATTTTGGGGGGATCCTACAGGCCTAAACTGGGGATTTTTTGATGCTTCTACTAGGAGCCAACAGGAACCACCATCTTGGGAACTATAGCTTTTTTCAAAGATCTTTCCTTGTTTAGGAATCTGAGGTTCAAGGTTCAAGAAGTCTCTTTGGAACTAGCCCAAGGTTTTGTCTTTGATCAACTGATACACTGATATATTTACCTTCAGGGTAGTACAATCTCCAAGCTTCTTGCTACTCCATCCTGGTTTTAGCATACTTTTTACTATGGACTACTTGAAGATTTTGTTTATTGCAATCCCATGTGATGTATTAACATTAATGTTTTATAGTGTCTAGCCTCCCATATTGATGGAAGTCAGCCATGAAAACTGCCTTTTTTTTTTTTTTTTAATTTTTTAAAGTTAGTTCTGTGCCCAACTTGGGGCTCAAACTCATGACCCTGAGATCAAGAGCCACATGCTCTACCAACTGAGCCAAACTGATGCCCCTCTTTTTCCTTTTGTTTGAAAAATGATCTGTGGGCCATGTGGGCATTAAGAGTAAATAAGGTAAAATATGCCTTTGAAAGTTGATTCAGACCCCCCCTCCATGAAACCATAGTAAACAAGGCAAAGTATATATTTGACTAAAGATTCTGATATGAATTTGAAAAGAAAGCATAACTAAGGATCTGGGGGTGGGGGGCGCACACAGGTGGGGGACTGCACCAAAATAGGTAACAGTTGATGGCCTTAGAGGGAGTACTGAATGGCAGGCATCAAGGATACGTTTGCCCTGGGGACAATTGCTGACTGTAGCAGGAGGCTGAGAATCCAGGATTGGCCCTGGGGCGGAAGATCCCAGTGCAGGAACAGCAAGAGATTTTAGCAT